ACTTTCGCTTAACCAGAGCAAATCTGAATTCTCACTTTTAAATTCTAATGCTTCCAACACTCACGATTTCAAATTCACATCAAGCGTTGAATTAACACATCTAGGATCGCCTGTTGGAGGACACGAGGCAATAAGCACCTTTCTTCATTCCACACTTGACATACTCCTTAAACTGGAGGACATCTTTACACTTCTTCCATCACACAAGTCCTTTTTTTTGCTAAAAAATTTCTTTTTTATACCAAGGATTCTTTACGCACTTCGGTCAACACCAATTTTTAAATATCCTATTCCTCTCCAAACTTACGAAAAAGGAATAAAGGACTTAACCGAAAAAATAGTAAATATCAGATTCAACGAAACCGCTTGGGCCCAAGCAACTCTTCCAACCAAATTTGGTGGTCTCGGCATCAGATCTCCACTTGACTTAGCAACAACTACTTTCATATCGAGTAGTCTCTTGACAAAGCCAATAACCACCGCCCATAATTCTAAAGAAGATCTTTCCTTAATCGTGGCTAAGGATATTTGGAAAACAAGGATCAATGCTGATTCTCATCCCCCCACAACCCATAAACAGAAAGACTGGGATGCACCAGTAGGTTGCTCGCTGCGTTGTAACTCTCTTATCTAGCATGCAATCTACCGACCGCACCCTATTCTCTTCCTTGCTCAATGGTACGGGACATGAGTTTCTTGAGGCCATCCCATCTACCAATCTTCAGCTTCAACTATCCAACAATTAATTTACCCATGCCATCGGCATTCGTCTAAATTGTTCCATCACTCACCCCCACATCTGCTCAGGGTGCAACTCGCCAGTTGACTCGAAGGGTAGACATAGTTTACATTGTCGCTCCTGCAATGGACGATTCATCAGACACAAGCAATGTAATACAATCATCCAACATGCTCTGAAATCCGCCCAAATTCCTTCCACGTTAGAACCACAGGGTCTTTTTAGATCTGACGGTAAACGTCCTGATGGGATCTCTCAAATCCCATGGAGGAGAGGCCAACTTTTGGTATGGGACTATTCCTGTATTGACCCCTTGGCCCCATCCAACCACGCCATCAACATCCTTGACCAGAAGGAACAACTTAAAATTTCTAAATACACAGAAATAATAAACGATCATTTCTTCATCCCAATCATATCAACCACTCTTGGCACCTTCGGCAAACTCGCCTTAGCATTTTTCAAAAACTTAGGATCACAAATCAGCAAACTTTCAGAAGAACCTCGAGAGGGTTTTTTTCTTCGTCAACGATTATCCATAGCGATTCACAAAGCTAATTATATCAGTTTCAATGGTAGCCTTCTAGCCAAAGAGCTATCATAGACCAACGCTTACGTTCCTTTTTCATTTTTGTTTCCCTGCGTCACACCATCTCCGTTCTTTTTTTTAGATAGTATTATTATATATTTTTCAAACATTTTTAAATATATTAAAATTTATTATAATGAAAATTTAAATTATTATATCTTATATTGATAATAAATTATTGTATTTATATAATTGAAAAATAAATTAGATATTTTTTTGTTCAAGTAAAATAGGTCCATAAATAATATAAATAATTCAAAATTTTAACTGATCATCAAATTTTTGAAAGAGGATATTTTAGTATATTATAATTATTATATTATAATATATTGATATCATCCATAATTATTTTATTATTATATATTTCATTTTTTAAAAAAAAGGTAGGATCACAAATTTGCAAGCTTTTATAAATATCATTTTAAGCTAATATACCTCACTAGATTTACCCGGCCTATCCTACCCCCAAATCATTCCCCCCCAAAAAAATATGAAATTAATAATATCATTATAAATATTAATTTAAGTTAATTATATATTTTTTAAAAAAAATATATAAATGAGTATAATTATCGTTTATATATAATGCAAATTAATATTCTAATCATTGCGAACTCATGATTAACTTTCCCCCCTCCCCCCACATCGGGTTTTATAATCCTTTACTAATATAAACTAATCTAACTCATTGAAGTCACGCAGACTTATATATATAATACCATGCAAGTATAATTATAACGTATTATTCAAACTCATACACATATAAAAATCTTTGACAGCAATAGGTCTTACTACATTTTAATATACTCTATCAATTGAAGGCACCCTTGCCTTACCACTGCATATAGTTTAGGTGAATAAAAGAATTAAAGAAAAAAAATAGTCAATAAATGCAATATAACTCGAACAATATTTAAGGGACCCGTTTAGGGGGCGGGAAGATTCCTGAAATATAAACAAAAAATTTTAAGTTAGTTTAAACATCATCCTTGATTTCCTTTTTTTTTAACAGCAAGTAAGACATTGGTTTAACGATTTCCTCTGGCATATAAAGTCCATCGAGCGTCTACAGGCGCTCATACACCCTCCCCCGCCCCCACACACACCCTAAAAATAATTCCAACCCCATGTTATTAATCAAAAAAAATCTAATTAAAAACCTTTATAAATTTTTTGTTGATCTAGTTGTTATTTTTAACCTGCTATTGTTACTTGCCAACTATGGTTGCATTTTAAAAAAGTTTTTTAAATAAAGTAAAATTTTCACTTTTTTGAAGAACGCATGTTGTTTTTTTTTTTACCATTAACAATATTTGTGTAAATAAATTTTTGATATAATTTTTTTTTCCAAATTATTAATTATTGCTCTTTTTTTGTTTATACCAATGGTGGAAATCAATCAGTAAATAAGTATATATTTTTTTAAGCTAAATACTCTTTTTTTTTACTTAATAAATTTCTTTTTCTTTTTTAGAATCAATATGGTATTAGTAGACCTGCGCGCCGATGTCTCAATCGACGGCGGGCGATATTTTTAAAATTTTTTTAGGCGTTCTGCACGCCGACGCCGCAGCTTAATATGTTGGCGATTTAAATAAACATTTTTTTTTGATGGATTTAATTTATAAATCAATGTATTACATTTATTTTAATAATATATTTGGGGGCTCTTTTCTAAAACAATGTTAATATAGTTTAATTCATTTCTTAAATTATTTCCTGTCTCACTCCAATTTAAATTTATGTATTTTCTTATTCTCGGAATTATAATAAGGAATAGCATTTTTACTCAGATAAGAGTCACATAAACAACACATATTAGTGATATTCTATTGATTTTTATTATAACAAATTAAAACAGGGGCGAGAGCCCGAACCTTACCGAACCCTCAATTTGCTAAACGTAAACCCTTTTTTAAAATTTAGGGTTCCAGGGTAACATGAAATTTACAAATTTTATTCATAAAAGATTTCCTATTTAAAAAGAGTTCTTATTTAAAAACAATTGTTTTTTTCATTTTTTCGTGTAATTATTTTTGTTATATTTAATAGTCGGCCATTTTTCGTAAAATTTTTTTAAATTTTACCCAGCAAAGCAGATAGATAAAATATATTTTTTTAAAAATGATGATAATATATAATAATTAAATAAAAGGTAACATCTATCGAAGAACGAAAAAAATTCTCATTCCCCGTCTATTTTGACGAGCTATCTACTAGTATATATAATTTGTTTCAATATAATATTCTTTACTTGCACACTAATTTAAAATAGAATGATTTGAAATAAATAAATAATAAAAATAAATAAATAATAAAAATAAATAAATAAGTAGCGATGAGATGACCTCACGATGACGAAGTGAGGATATTAGAAAATTATAATATAGAAAAGAAATATTAAATTTGCTTTGTATATTTTTTTAGCGTAGTAAAAAATAGTAATTCTTCTTAACAGTAAATATAATATTAATATTTTTAACGTTATAAAAATATAAAAATTATATTAATTTTTTTTAACGAAGCCACGTTAGTTTTTTAATATATTATAATGATTATATTAAATTTATTTAAGAATTTTGTAGGAAAAATTTTAATGGAGCTTCCCTTGCTTCTATGGAAGTTTCGTCACTGCATCTCCTATTATATTACTAGAATTTTAAAGTAATTCTTTCTGTAACATTTTATTGTTATTTTTCTTCTCAATAACAACACTTAAAATAATCTTTATGGTTTATATATGATATTTCTTTTTCCTTATTCATTTAATAATATATTTCTTCCAAATCGCATTAAAGCTTGTCTTCTTTCTAGATTTTAAACATCGCAAACTCATCTTTTATTGATTTGACAGTAAATAATCTATAGTTTTCTAAATAGTAAAACAATATTTGATTGATCAAATCAAATATTTAAATCAACTGATTTATATTTGACATGTGAAATAAAACTCGTAGCCATCTGCCGATCCAATTATATAATCATTGGGATAAATCATTTTCCTGTTATATCTTTTTATTTTTTTAAAAATAATGTAGGAATTTAATAGTATTTATCAATTAAGTAATAATATCATGATTTATATATTTTATTTGTATAAAATTGCATTTTATTATAAAAGATAAATTACATTTTTTATTCCCCTTATCAACAAAAACAATTTCTCTTTATATATCTTTTTTTAAACAATAAAAAAAAATAACTAATTGTGTGATAATACAAATTGACATTAAAAAAATATAACGTTAAAATGATAAAAAAATGTTAATGTAAAATTTTCACCGATTAAATTTAAATACAAATTGATATATATAAAAAAATAAATCAATTGCCAAAATAAATAATAAAATAACATCGATCAACATATTCAACATTTATATATATATTTTATCATCCTTAAAATAAATTATGTAATTAAAAAACGTTTAAAAATTTTTCAGTAAACACTTGTATAGTCTTTTTAATAATAAATAAAAATATGGCCTACTAGTAATATTCATAACCTTAATAATCTTTTTGAAACTAGTTTTTAGAAACAACTTTAGCAAAAAATAATTATAATTTTAGTATCAAATAAATAAATAGAAAAACAGAATATATACATTACATTAATGTTTGTCAAAATAATTCAGAGATGTCAATCGATTTCATTTTGTATCCACAAATATTCGACCCAAAACAGCTGTTAAATAAAGGAGAAAAATTAATCAATTGATGGGGAATACAAAAATACAATAATTATACTCAAATTTTATTTGTACGTAATCCCATGATGCCTATTCAACTAATATGAGCTATAAATATCTTCTGATTCTATTTTCACGTTGGCTTGATTTGTGGATGCATTTAAAGTTATATTTATCTTCAAATCATTTTGATAGTAATTGTAATGTGATTATATACAGTTTAATTTTATATATACTCTCATTTATTAATGAAGGAATGAGAATAAACTTGATTCATCTAAAACTTCAAGCTTAAATTTTTTGACGTATTTACATATTTATTTGCTATTTCCCTAAAATTTTTCATATTCTAAATAAAATACTTAAATAGACTTTTACACACCCAATTTTTACATTTAATCATACATATTTAATAGTTTTAAAATTAATTTTTTTAACTCTAATACCTAGAAATAATAAGCAACCTATATCAATATATTAATATTGCAAACATCTTTTTCATTTTATATAAAATAAACTATTTAACTAAGAAGCCAATAAAAGGCATAGGGCCAATTGGCATGAAGCTACTTGCCCATATTCAATTTTTAATTCCTGCCTAAACCAATCAGGGCCCATTTTAAAAAATAATTAAAAAGACTTTGCTGGACAAAATGTGAAATATTTTCTGAACCATTTTCTGTCCTTATTTTAAATTAATTTAGGAATCCAAAGGTCAGGATAAAAATTGGGAATATTTGAAATTTTTTAAAAAAATTAAAGCCTTGAATTATGCAAATTAAGATACTTCCTTCACAAAAAAATAATAACAGATGGGACAAAATAATCAGGTTTTGCCAGGCAGCTAGGCCATTATGGGCTAAGCCATAAAACTTTAAAAAAATCTTCACAGGCTAGTTTGCACTGGGCCATTCTGATCTCTAAAAGAATTTTATAAGCTTAATAAAAATTAGGATTATGGCTTTGCTTATCAGCAAATTTTTTTTTTTTCTAATACAATTTTTTTCTAATATTTATACAATACCAAGATAACCAATACCAAGATAACCAATACCAATCCAATATTTAGATTATTTTTATTTACGATCATCTTTTACCTAAATATTATTAAAAAAAATAATTGTAACCTATGGGGCAAAATAAAAAACACTTTAAAATTTCTCCTTTCTCATGGTGCAATATTTTGAGGATTTAACAATTTATTAAAGTGTATTCATTTTATTCCCCAAAAGTTAGTCATTTGCCAAATATTTTAAAATCCTTTTTCTTGTTGCAAAGGAAAATAATATCACATTTTAAATATTCTTTCTTTTTAAAATATTATATAAGTTTTAATATATATTTTTTAAACTATGTGATTATACGAAATTGAAAATAAAATTAAAATATTTTAAAAAAATTACATTTTGGTTCCTATCATAGAATTACCCAAAACAATGATAATAATATTATCAGGTCATCTATTTTGGAAAAAATAGGTCTTGATCCAATCTGATATTTAATATCAACACAGCCTTAGCAAGGATTCTTTTACATAATTTTATTATATAGAATATTTTTTTTCATGTGGCTGTTAGCCTTAAAAATATTATTTAAAATACTATCTCTTTTTTGACATGCAAAATTTTAAAATATGCTTTATAAAAAAATAATACTTTGAATCATTTGCACTAAATATTTAATTAGTTTCAATCTTTTAATCTCTCATCAGCAAGGATTCCAACTTGAACCCGAACCTGGAGAAGAAAACCTCGGTTTTTGAAAAAAACATCTGAACCTGAACCGAACCCGGGAATTTTATATGAATCCGGGTTTAACCAGGTTCAGTATTATTTAAAATCATATATTAAGATATTTGTAACAAATATTAATAATTTAATTGAGATTTTATATTATTTTCAAATTTCCAATATAATGAAGTGTTAATGAATTTTAAACAACTTAATTCATTTACTCCATTTTAAATTTTTTTTATATTTATTCTCAAAGATTCCTATTGGAGTGTTAATAAATTTTAAAACAATTAAATTCATTTACACCATTTATTTTTAATCCTTAACTTATTCTCAGAGATTATTAATTAGAGGAAAATGAAAGTGAACAAGTCAAAGTAAAAAATTGATATTGGATATTGTTAATTTAAAGAATTCTCAAAATCTAGCTTAAAAATTGTTAAACAAAGATTCAGGGTAGTTTTTGTAAAATTTTGTATTTTTAACTATATTTTGCCTATAAATAAAATAAAAAATGAATTTGATATACTAAATTTATGTCTATTTTTTTTAATTATGATTTAAATATAGAATTTTTTTTATCAATTCAAAAATTCTTAAACCCAAGCGGGACTCGGAACCAAACCCGAGTTCAAAAATATTTCCCTGAACCGAACCCGAACTCAGTCAAAAATTTTGCCGGGTTCGCACCCCTGCTCATCAGTATATATTAGATATTAATCAATTAACCCTGTCTTGGCTTCACTGCATTTTTATACGTAACATGCTTAAAAATGTAATTTCTGACAAATAAAAAAATTTCCCTTTAAATTCAGAATTCAAAATCTCCAAATCCCAGCCTGTGGAATGGGCCAGGAAAATTTTGGGCATTAAAGTTTTTGTTTATTTTTTTGAAATTTAAAGCTAATATTCTGATTTTGATTATTACTATTTGAAAATAAATTACAATATGCATATTTCCTCGTATTTTAAGAGCTGTCCAATTAAAAATACCAATTCTATAGATAAATAATATAGTAAATTCACAAAAAATTAAATAAAGTTATCTAATTACGATGTATCCAGTTACAAATAATTTTTATTATTTTAATATTTGCAAAATAAATGAAGTTTTTTATTTTAAATTTTATTTTTATCCATGTTATCCAAAACCGAAATAAAATTTGGTCCTAAATATGGTTCGGATCAGTCTCTACATTTGTGGTTTCCGGTTTGGGTTTTTCGAAAATCGGTTTCAGGCACAAACCGTTATCATATTATAGCTATAGCTCAATGACATACAATAATACATAGACTGACGATGCATTCATAAATGACGCATTTGAAAGCGTCGTTGATTGAATATCAGCTGGACCCGCCATTTTGGTAATCCATATAGCAATTATTCTCATGTTAAAAACTACTATAAAATTGAAAAATTGCTTCCTTTATCGTCTCGATGATCAGGCAATTCTCTAATAAAGTTTGCGTAAAGCATAGGAATAAATTGGCCTCTTGTTTAAATTTTTTTAAAATAATGATATGGGTAATCAAAATGGCGTCTCCAGCTGTTTTCATTGATTTATATGTCATTTATAGCCACCACTAGACAAAATAGCTGCGCATGTTAGTGTCAATATGATCATTTTTTTAGCTCGTTTTTATATTTTTTAAAAAAATTAAAAAAAAACGTAAAAATCCGATTCTAACAGAAATGTATTCCGGAATGTTTAGAAAAAAAATCTACTTCCGTGATTCAAAAAAAATAAAATAATATAAATTTGTTATGAACATTTACAAATAATTATAATTTATATTAAGTATTTTTAGGAGAAATTATATCAAGTAAAAATTAGAAATGATTTAAAAGTTAACGGCGAAATTGTCTGATTCGTAGGGAAGGTATTCAAGCATGCTGAACTGTATTTCCGGTAAAATTCAAATTTTTAAGTTGTAAAGAAAAAGGCGCTAAAAATGATTTAAAGTTGAAAAAAAAATAAGATATTGACGGGAAAAAAAGTGTATAAGTTAGGGCTGGGAATATTTTAAAAAAAACCCAAGATTAACGAAATTATTTTTTTATTTCTCGTATTGGTATTATTGGTCAATGACATATAATAATACCTTGAATGACGATATATTCATTAAAAGTGTACATCAATAAAAACAGCTGGGGACGCCATTTTGGTTGCCCATATCATTATTAACAATTTTAAATTAGAGGCCAATTTATTCCTCCTATGCCTGATTCAAACTTTTTAAAAAAAATTGCCTGATCATCGAGATAATAAGGAAGCAAGTTATCAATTTAATAGTAGGTTTCTAACACGATAATAATTACTATATGGGTTACCAAAATGGCGGGTCCAGCTGATTTGCATTCAACGACGCTTTCAAATGCGTCATTTACGAATGCATCACCAATCTAGGTATTATTATGTTTCATTGATATTGGCTTAAATTCATATTATTAATTTCAGAGTTGTTAAAGGATCTAGATCCTGTATCTAGATATAAAAATGTGGTATCTGTATCTAGATAGATTTTTGATTAAAATATCGGTATCTAGATATTATTTTAGACGATGTATCTGTATCTAGATCCATTTAAAAAGTATCTTTTAACAACTCTTATTAATTTAAAAAAAATAGAAATAGTGATCAGGGTCGAGAGAACCAACTCATAATTTTGGTGAATCCAAATTCCTTCCTTTTTTTTTTCTTTTTAAACTAGGAATTTGTGAAGTGATTGAAAATAAACGTATATTGATTTTGATACATGTAGCAAAATGAGTATAAACTAAAATATCATATAAAACTGTCTTATTTATATGGAAATATACAGTGCGAAAGATTGTTATATTCTCTGCCGCGATTTTTCGCTAACCGTGAGTGAGAGGTTACCCTGTATATTCAGCACGAATTTGAGGGGAGGTATACAAAATTTACTTATAAATATATTCTCTCCCATCATTTTCCGCTAACTGTGAATGCAGTATAAGAAGGATAACTTTTTTTAGGCACATCTTGGATAGTATGAATGTTAGTTCCCTTTATAATGATCCACGAAACAAAAAACCAAATAATTCTATAGATATATATTTTTTTTATTTTTAATATTGGGATTGGTATTGGTATTGGTTTACAATATATAATTAAACAATATATTTAGGTATTTTAAATATATATTCGTTATTTGGTATCGTAAATCATGAATATATTTTATTGAATATTTAAAAAAAAAAAATTAACAATTGACACCTTTATATATATTTATAAAAGTAAGATTTTAAATGACAATTTTTTTTTTTAAATTCAAGGTATATATTTTACTTGAACTCGTGTCGTGAGTCTATATACATAAAATATGCGTTTATATTTTTTGATTGCTTAATTATTAACCTTTTCGCAGTTCGGTCGATCTCTTCTAAGAAATGAAGGAATTTTATTATAAATGTGGATTTATATTTGAATTATTTTTTTTTGTGGATGAAAATTACAAAATATGATTTTTTTTTATCAAACTTTTGATTTTCATTTATAATAATAATAATAAACAAAGATAGTAAAAGTTTAAGCGCAACACGTGATTAGTCGTCTCGACAAGACCGGAATTCGTAGAAAATTTAAAAATACCGAAAAAAAAGTAAGTTGATTATCTAAAATCCAACCGGGGATAATCCTATGTACGTAGGACGGCCCTGCTGCAATAAATGGTTATGTGGTGGCGGCTCAACAGCTCGCCAAACCTTACCCTTTGCCCCCGCGAATATTAACCGATTGTCGACGTTTCCCAGAGCTTCTCGTATCCCCTGCCTCTCCCCTGACAATTTGTGCTTGAGGGCCTTCAAATGGATACCCGTCGTATTCGTGTGTTTCATATTGGTTTGGTCGTATTACGCTTACGTGGTTCAGTTTTGTTGCTACACCCTTATGACGCCTCAATACTCTTTGCCGCAAAACGGTGACGACCCCTCTTATAAAAGGTAATTTATTCTTTTTTTTCCATTTTGCTCCAAATCGGTTCGGTTTTACGTTTTAGTTTGTCACATATTTTCATATTGTCGGCTGAGTGTTATAGTGTTACATATCTACATTTTCGCAAATGGCATAAAAATGGTTACAGAACATTATAATACTCAACCAGTGTGAAATGAGACTTTCGAGGCATCTACTAGTTAGGCTATCATAAGGTGTCAGTAAATAGTCACATGTTAAAAGGATATTTTTAATCTCATATCCTATATTTTTATTTATTTTTAAGCTAGTCCTATATATATATCCTAAAGCGTATTTGAAAAAATTGCGAAATTTAGCATTATACTTTTTAAAATAAAAACCTTTGCCAAAATGACGCCTTCACCTATATCTGATGTATACCAAATCGACCCCACTAACCTACACCGGGCATTGGTCTTCTATAGGTAGAGTCATTTTATTTTTAACTAATTTTTAAGTATTCATTTTTAATATGTGGCTATTTACCGACACGGTGTTCCGTAGCATTAATCGATTAAACATTTATATAGTCAACTTCAATTATTATTATTTTTTTTAAAAACCGCACCCAAATTAAGTCATGACGCTAAAATTGGGCATGGAATGGAAGATAATTCAGAATCGGCAGCGTTATTCAATAGCAGCGAACCGTCTAGCGATCAAACCGCTAATATATCCGATCAAGTTAATACGACCCCTCGAGCTATAGCCTACTTGATTGTCTTTCATCCCTTGTTCCTATTATTGCTTTGGTCCTATTTCTCGGTTACCCTGACGCCGGCTTGCAAGGGTAAAAGACGCGAAGGGTGCGCGGTACCCAAAGTATACGCGCTCGAACCGAGAGAACTCGTCGAGATAGAGAAAGCCAGGGACGAAAACGAGTTATCCATAATACTCAACCAGGTCGCCCTTAGGGTGTTCGACTATCCGCGGACTAATAATCAAATCAAGTAATTAAAAAATTATATGAATTATAAGGTCAAATATTTGAGCTAAGGACTTTGATATGAAAATAATTTAATAAAAGTGTTCAAACATTTGAAGTCAGCTGTAGCTGATGTCATTGGCTGTAATAGAATTCTTCGTCTAAATGTCTTTCAATGGCGGACTTCAATATTTGTACACTTACTGCATTTTAATGAATGAATCATCACCAGTCTAGATTGGTTTAATTTCAAACATATGAGCAGATTAAATTATTAATGCATCGTATAAATTTGATATTACAATAAAATTAATTTACCGCATTTAACCGACTCAATTTTTTTTTTAAAATAGACCCCTTAAACAATGCACCCTCGAGGGAGGTCCTCGCTACTGCGACATTTGTAAACATCTTAAGCCGGATAGGTGCCACCATTGCGGCGCGTGCGGTGAATGCGTGCTTAAAATGGACCATCACTGTCCCTGGGTCAATAACTGCGTTAATTTCGGGAATCAAAAACAATTCGTTTTGCTCTTAATTTACGGCTGTTTGATAAGTCTCTTCGCCGGAAGTAAAATTTTTTATGACCATTTATTAATAAAAAGTGTATTTTACACAGGAGTCAGCCACAGACGTCATTTTTTTAAATAGTCTACACGTAACTTAATGATATTTATCGTTTGATAAAAAAATTCATTTCTAAAATAGAATGTTTTTTGTAAAATAAAGTAAATGTTATTAAACCAACCTGCAGAAAAAATGGCGTCTACCGCTAACTTCCATGTAGTTAACTTCTATCGCTGACTCTCATGTAGTTAACTTATATACAAACTTAATTAATTTACACACTTTCTAATTAGTATTGACACTAGCTTACTAATTTTTGTTTTATGAATTTTTTTTCAGGTACATGATTTTTTTAAAAAAAAATTTAATTGATTTTTTACCAAGAATTCTGTTACATTTTTTTTAATATAAACTATGCTTTGTAGCCACTTTTTGTTGTTTGCCACATTAAACACAGCTGGTTATATAAGTAAAACTAAATTACTAGAAAAATAGTTAGAAAAGTGGGAATCCATCAAGTTCCTTCAATATGAGACTGATGACAAATAAAATCTATAAAACAAGCCTCTGGAAGTAAGGTAGTTAAAATTAAAAAGGAATGTGAGTAAAGATGCTAAAATATCTGCAATATCTAAGCTAATATTAATCCACGCGGAAGTAAGAAAATGGTCTGAATTTGGTTTCCAAATTTTTATTATAAAAATAAAGAAATAAGAAATATGTTGGTAGTATTTATGAGTCAAGAAGTTGAATGGATTGTGCCAATAAATGTATAACGCCAACAGAGAATAATGATTCCTTTTAGTATTCCGCATTATAGCAATAGAGAAAATTATACAAGTTTAATACTTTACAGATCAAGTAACATTATTGGATTTGGGTTTAGAAAATAATAACGAGAAAATTGTTTAAAAAAGCCAAAATCTCGAAATTCAATATAAGATAAAGATAAAAGGTAGAAAAAATTAAGGCTCTGTTCAGGTTCTATTTATTTCCAAACAGCAGGCTATGTCGCTTCGACTGAACAAGGTAATAAATAAGAAAGAAAAAAAATAACGATACGAAACACTAACGAAAATAGGGTGTCGTAGTAGGCTAAAACTGTAGTGTTGTTAAACGACTCCATTTTTTAAAGACGGTTATTCCAATATTTTAGTCAGGGCATAAAATTTAAACAAATTAAGAGATAGGTTTTATTGCATTGTTATATGGAAGCATGAATAGCAATGTAATTACTTTGATGAATAGCCATCGTAATGGGTTGTTTGAAATAGAAGGCTTCTCTACTATCGCCATTTATTTTGCCTTATTTTCTCCCTAATAATGTGATAAATTAAGGAATTATTCACCAAAATTACCAAGAGTATTGGTGACAAAAAAGTTATAAATATCAGCCTCAAAAAAAATCTTGTAATGCAAAATGTTAAATGATTAATTTAGATTTTTTTTTTAAAAAAACTATTATTTAAATCAAATGATTTTTTTAAAAAAATAGCCTTGATTTTTTTTTTCCACAATCAGATAATAGCATAATTTGTTGAGCCAGTTTTAAAATTTAAAGATCTGATTTTGCTCAAAATGATGCCTGAATCGATTCCTATAAGTTTCAGACAATTTTGTCATAAACTTCTAAGCCAATTTATAGAATAAAATTATACGAATTGAGTTGACTGACATTAATATCCACATTGCCGGTAACATATAAAATATCATAGGTTTTATAGTAATTTTTTTTTCTTCTTTGCCTTGTTTATTTTGAAATTTCTCCATGCTCATTTTGTAAATAAATAAAAAAAGATATCCTTCCTATTTATGCAACCCATAAAACAATATTTAAAATTATTAACTTTTTTTTAAAAATAAAATCTAGTTACGACATTTCCCTACTTCGTCTCTTTCTGGTCCAACTCTAGCGCTTACCAACTGCCGCTTCCCGCCTCCGACTCTACCCCACTTCCGAGCTCCTCCCAATTCAAATACGCTATACCCGCTTCCAATTACACCGACAACCTTAAAACGAACGCCTCATTTTCGCTTACTTTTGCCAACGCCTCCCTATTTTCCTCGTTAATCGATTATCCTTACACTTCTAACTTCGTGGGACGGGCTTTGCTGACTACCCGTTTCCACGTTTTATTCCTGTTTTTCGTGGTTATCATGTTCGGCATAGCCCTGAGTGCCTTATTGGCCTACCATTGCTACCTGATCTCCCTTAATAGGACCACTCTTGATACCTTTCGAGCCCCCGTATTTCCTCCCCAAAAAGCTTCCCCTAACGCTTCGATCAAGGATCAGAATACTCCCAAACCCGACTTAAACGGATTCAATTTGGGAACTTGTAGAGCCAACTTTGAACAAGTATTCGGGAAAAATCCTTACAAATGGGCCTTCCCCATCTTTACGGCCATCGGTGACGGCACAATCTTTCCAAACAAATATGAAACGGTAAACGAATTGTGTCAGAACCTCGGTTCGGTTCCCGATTTCCATTCGTTCAATAATGATCACTTCGACTCTTCGGGCCATCACATTGATTCGGCTTTCAATTCTCATTTTCCTCCGTCTCCTCGGGGCAACAACGAAAATAAAAAACCTGGCAAATATACTACGCTCTTCGAAAAAGATACTTCCTTACGCGCCAACGATGGTAATAACTTTGTAAACGTTACCATTGACTCGAATACCGCGCATTCTTACGCTTCCCCGCGCAAAAAATTTTCCAAGAGAATATTTGGTTCTCACAGGAGGTTACCTTTTGTTGATAACGCCAGCTCCAACAAAAATTTTCCCTTACCACCGTTAAACTCGCCCGTGAATGTATCGAGGGTCGGTCTTTTGTCCTCATCGCAAAATTTGTTATTGGAAAGCACCGGGACATCTTCTTACTTACCTTACGGATCTATAAATCAATCCAGATTTACTAAGATAGATCTCAACGCCTCATAATTTTTTTTAATATAAGTATTTAACGACAAATATATATATATATATTTAAAAAAAATTTTGTTACATTTAATAAGACTCAAATTTATTATTATTATTTTTTTTATTAAAGTAAAAATTACTCACTCCTTTTATCGTGTTTTTCGAATTGACGTAAATTTCGCGTCGCATTTTATCTTTCCATTTCAAAATTTTGTCATCTATACACTATATTTAGTGTTGTAAAACGGCTCAATTTGAGTCGATTTTCAAAAACGGTTAGTAATATTAAGCAAGTCCGGAGATTTTGCTCGCAGATGACACAAAGGTGTAGACATCAATTATCGAAATCTCGAGGCTTCAGGCAATATTTTTCTGGCTTAAATTTACTGACCGCTTAACAAGACTAACTATATTAGAAGAAATTTCGATTTTTGACTTTTTAAATATAATTTTTTTTTTAAAAACGCAAAATTTATATTAATGTGTAGGTTTTTTTTTATAAATGCTTCAAAGCTAACACTCATTTGATTTGGAGAAACTAATATATTATAAAATACTGTATTTTAGTCATTGTATTTTTTTATGATAAGATTTCACGTAAATTACGTAAATTTTTTATTATTTTACTATTATGCAATTTATTGTAAGTTTTTGCATTTTAAAATTGAAATAATTGTAAAAATAAAATATTATTATAACAATTTATAAATTCTTACATATACATATATATAAAAATAAATAAAATTTTATCCTTGAATAAATAATTTTAAATTATATAATACAATATATTTACTAATCTTTAAAAACAAAAGTCGCAAATATTATGCTAAATAATTATGTTTTTTTTGTGTATAAATTATAAATTTGTTTTGTTTAAACAGTCACAACACAAATTAAAATAAATATATCGTTTTTTAAGGAAAATAATACCGGGTATTTAAAACTATTTATATAAATTAGATTATAAAAAAATTCACCAAAAATTAGTTATAGGTTGCAGGGTATATATCAATAGCGTGTAAAAGACTAGACCTATAAATATTGCGTACAAACAAACTTTATTAGCGTTTTTCTTGAACATTATTAATCCGGCATTATTGTTGGTCAAAAAAAATCGGCGCTTGAACGGGGAAACGGGCGAAATTCTCGTTCCATTCTGCGCATCCTCCACGTTTAATCCGCAAAATGAATTGGCCATCGATAATATGAAAAGCCACGTGACCATTTTTTTGTAGCCCCAGCCGAAAAAGGATAATACGGCCGTGAAGAATAGCATATAACCTGCGGTTTTGAATATAAATAATTTTGATATTCCAAAGATTAAAACTCGCCATAAAAATTGACTTAAATTCCAAATCTTTGTATATTAATTTCATCGTTAAATTTTTAAAATTATTTGTATATAACCTATAAAATAGTAATTTGCCAAAAATCGTAAATTAATGCAGGGTCTCAGAGTTTGGGACATTTTGTTTGTCGGTGAATAATTCTTGAAGATGGGGGATCTAGGCGGCGAAGAGATAACGGGTCTGAAGGATACAATCGGTGATATGATAAGAGATAGGAGTACGCTGTAGAGGTCTTCTTTGTTGTAAAGAATATTGAGTTTGGTTTGAAACTTTAAGTTCGTAGAAGAGGGAAAAAAAAGATACATTACAATAAAACTAGTGTTGTGAATGTAATTAAGTTACATTTATTTAGAACGGCTATAACTTTATAAATTAAGAACGACCAGTTACTTGTTATCCGTTACTAGCTACTTTTTAGGAAAACTATAATTAACTAATTGTATATGCGTGTTTTTTTAAATATAACTAATTTTTCAAGTTATTCAAATTTTTATTTTTTGAAAAAATGTAACAAGGGAAACCAGCTTTTCGCAACTGGAACGAAAAATAATTTTAATAACACTAATGCTAAAAACTAAAAATGTTTTAAAACACGATGCCATTTGGAATCATGAGATGGGATTTTATAATATATTTGATTAAATTTAAAAATTGGTTTTTTTATTTATTTTTTTCCAATGGATTTAATTTTTATTTTAAAATAATTTATAAAATTCATATATTAGTTATTTACCTTTCCAAGATGATGAAAACAAACAACCTTTATCTTATTGCACGATAGACCAATATCATTAAAAGGTTAAAAATTTCAGATTAATTTTTAGATTTTTTTTAACATCCTTAGTACTAGTAATCACATTAAATACCTATTAAAAAGAATTGCCTGCCGATGATTGGTAAAATTTCACCCATAAAATAATTTTAACGACCTATAAAAATTTCTTTTAAACATATTACAGTAGAAGAATATATAAAAAGCAAGTGACATTTTTAGATATTTTCCTTTAAAAAAAGAAATTTCTATTAGGGATGCAAAAAGCTAAAAAAAAAGGAAAAACTTATCAAGCAGTGTTATGAATCTGAATTAGAGGTCAGGAATTATAAACTCTATTTACCAGAAATTTCGATAAAGAGAAACTTAGTCGAAGCCAATTTTATGAAAGAGATGCGAACCCGCCCCGGATTCGATGGGAATCGAACTTTGTTTAGTTCTACGGTTTAAAAAAATGCCCAACCAAACATGGGTTCACAACCCCGATAAAAGATTGTATAAATAAAAAAAGGACGCTTTTTTTGGGACATTATAATAATTTTTTGCGCGAATTCCAGAGTTATTATGTAGTCAGTCACATATAAAAAAAAGGCACTCAATTGTGTTTGTACTTTATTGTTTAGGAGGGTCGAAATTTTATATAAAACACGGACCAAGTAAGCATTTTCGTAAGATCGTATAGGCCTCGTTTCGTATCCTCCCAGGTGTAACAAGGACGCGCTCGACGGAGTGTATAACTTGTACGATAATTTTTTTTAAAGGCATTTTAAAATGTTTTAGTTATTAAATAGTCCTCGAAACAACACTAACAAAAAAATGGTATCTTCAACGATTATTATCGACACTTTATGGTTTTATGTTTATGTACTGATTTTATTATATATATATTGGTGGTTTTATACTTTCTTTATTTAAATATTTTCGTATTAAATTTCCTTTATTTGATTATTTTCGTAATTTCAATACACAATATATTAAATTTATATAAATTAAAACAAAGTTTATAATTTTTAAAAAAAAAGAATAAAATTTTTTTTTCCTTTTTTAGAGTTTATATACTTTCTAAAATTATTAAATTAAATATATATTTATTAATAATCAAAAAATATAATATTACTCCTTACAACGATGAACTGGTAAAAACAATTATAAATTTATTAGTAATCATGTATAAAATAATATGACGATGACTACACAATTTACTATCATAAATTTTTCATGACCATAACAAAATATATATATTTATAACAATGGCTCTACGAGAATATATTACTATTTCTTTCTCTTTCTTCTTTTCAATATCTTTTAAAAAATACAGTATAATAAGACTTAGAGAAGTACTGATAAACGGCTACCTCAACATTTTAGCCAGAAAAATATTGCCTTAGCCTCGAGATTTCGATAATACATGTCTAGACCATTGTTCTTCTATGAGCAAAATCTTCAGGCCTGCGTAATATTTTTCTGAATGAAATATATTGAGTTAGCCGATATCTTTTAATAAAATACGTGAATGAATTACTAGGACTCCTTTTTAAAAAAATTAAAATCACCTTTGGCGTTTTTAGAGGTATCGAGCTGGACAGAATTCCCGTTCGATTTAAAACAGTTTTGGGTGTGTTGTAAGCATTTTGGTAGAATGATAGATTATTATTTGGCGATGAAGATTTCTTGAGCACGGGAATATAATTTGGGGCAATCTATTAGTTATATTTTGGTTAAAAAAAAGAGACAATATTTAATCATTTAAAGTAGCCCTTTTATTTTAATGGAGATACTATTCTAAAGTGAAACATGAAGAATGTAACTAAATGGCGACAAAAATCGACACAAGGAAATAATAAAAGTTTAAATTAAAAGCACACAAAAAAAACTATAACTTACGGGCCCAAACATAATCTCCAGCATCCGTATACTCTCATCCAGATAGAAAATACATTTATCGTTCCTTTCGGCATTATTATGGTATTTATCAATATAATTCGGATTGGAGGAAGAAATCATTCCCTTACGCGCCATGAGGCTCAAAAATAGTGGGGATTCGTCAATTTCGTCACTGTAACCAGACCCATTAAAATAACCATATTTGAGGCTAAAGTAGGCGTATCTTTACATGTTAAGTTATATATATATATAAAGTGAAAATATGGGTGCCAATTAATAAATACGCCTAAAAATGAATATAAAAAAATACCAGATTATAAAATAAATAAAAACCAATTTTAAAATCCAAATCCTTGGCCATATCAAGTCTTCACTCATATAACTCTCAACAATTCCAATTTTCCAATCTCGACAATGTCATATCATCCCTTATAATTTTATTTTGATTCCTAAAAAAAAATACATACCTTGCTGGGTAAACTATATAGTTGCGCCAAATTTTATCCAAAAACATTCGCAAGGCCTTCACGTATAAACGACGAAATTTCGAACTTTTATCGTTGGGATTTTTGGAAAATTCATCCCTTTTATCATAGCTATCGTTTAAAGAAGTTGACAGGTTTTTTCGGCTGTCCACGAGATTGGGTAAAAGACGGAGTCTGATCAGGGATGAATTGGCTGACGAGAAACTGGGGTTAAAATTTAAGATAGGATCTGATGTTTGGATAGGAAGGTTGTCTGAAAACGCAAAATAGTATCGTCAATTAATGTAATATTTAAAAAAAATCATAAGTAAACAGGGCCGTAACAATGCTATGGGTGGCATTTGAAGGCTAGTCTAACCCCCCTCCCCGTCGGGAAAATTTCTGGCCCCCAAACAAATTTTCATAAAATTGTTTCTATTTTTTACCGTTTCTATGCTCTTCTTTACATATCTTTTAAAGAGAATTTGTAATTTTAGAAAAAGTATAAATATTACATAATATTGCCTAATTATTATATTTTATTATAACTTGTATACAATACAAATATGGCCCAACTCACATCCCAAGTTAATTATTCGCAAAGCCCCTTTTTTTAAAAAAAATGACAGACCTAGCATTATATCTTTCGAATATGATGGAAATATGCAATATTTTTTAAACTCACTAGTGTTCCACTTTCTTTTTTTAAAAGAAAAGTTAATTAATATATTTTTTTAAAAAATATGAAATGAAGAATACCTGGTCTTTCGATCTGGTTGAGAAGTTGATATAGGTCACCTTTGACAAAAACCTTATTGAATAAAAAAAACATTTTTTTAAACAATAAGTAAGCTAATTAAAAATTAGTATTATAAAATTATTAGCTCTGCAAAATTAACCCCAAAATTTTTTAAAGATATTATCCCGGATCACAAGTGAATTGTGCTTGTTAAAGGCAAGAAAACGTAGCTCTGATAGGAAAATGAGGATTGCGAGATTAAAAAAAATATATAGCATATAAATAAGATAAGTAAATGTGGTTTCAATCAGCACAGTATTGTTGTTGTATAATTTAGATAACTCATATTCATGACAAACAATATGGTATAATAATTGATTCATTGTAAATGAGGGTTAATTTAAAATTCAATTCATGTTTTAAAAAATAACTCCTATATATTATATTGGTTATAGCATAGTGATAATCTAAGTTATGCTTTTTAAAATATATATGAAGGGAGTTTAATTATAATAATAAAAACATTTAATTAACAATGTGGGAATATCGCCGCCTTAGATGGTAGTATAGGTTTTTGAGGGTATTTTCTTCCAGTGAATGTCCTGTCATGTAGACGCTAATCGCGACACATTAAGTATCGCTCGACACCAGTATAGCATCGGTTCAAAAAAAATGGTATCAATATATCCCCGATTTCAAATGTCGACAAGGTATTTGAAACAATCTATGCGCCTTTTTTAAATTAATAAACGCTCTATTTTTTTTAGCCTAAATTAACGACAAGTTTTTAGCCAAAAAACTATAGCCACAAGCTTCAAAGTTATCGCCAAATATACTATAACCTTAATTTAGAGCCGGAAAAACTCAACTCCGGCCTCAAGGCTAACCTGATTTTATTCGGCATGCGCCTCAAGTATTAATCAATTACCACGAATTAGCTAAAGTCAGCGATGTTCAGATCACGCCACAAACCGAAAAAAAATTAGTCGGTTGCATTTAGAAACAAGTTTAGAAATCCAGTTATTTTGTCAGCCTGTCTGCAATTTTGTGCAAATTAGATAGTAAATTTCTAATAACACCCCCTCAGTATTTTGGTGATTGAATTAGCCCGGTTCAGGGAGCCTAACAATGTCCTAACGATCAATTTTCTTCTTCAAAAATCCATTACCAAGACAAGAGACTAAAAACCCCAGCCCATTTTTCCCTTTTCCTCCGCTATCGTAACCGAGGGCCGTGTTGCTACCCGGTACCGTGAGTGATTTCAAATCAATTAAACATCACATACATAAATATAAAAAGCGTATATTATTTTTGAAAAAAATCATTTCATAAACCTTTAAAACTCTGTACAGCTGACACGCGTTTTGCGATATGGTCAAATCTAATTGCGACATTCTTGAAACGAATCGATTAAATATGACAGTGTAATATGGTTCGTTGGCTCTAAGGTAATTTTTCCTGAAAAAAAAATCATATTTGTTTTAGGCTATGTCAAAGGTTGTTTTTTTTTAAATTCAATTTTAACTTATCCTTAATCTTAATTTATTTTTGTTGCAACTGTCCCAATCAATTTGATAGACAGTTCCATATCAAAAAGTCAATCCTTTTAAAACATTGCGTTTTTTAAAGAAACGATATTGATTGTCGGATACAAATTCACAAAATTACAAAAAAGTCTAGTTTTAAACCAATATAAATGGTGAAAAGTAAGTTTTAAGGTTCTACGTTCAAAACCGATTTTCCTTCATGACCTGGTTATAAATTTGTATATATTTGAGGAATAGCATCGGATTGGCAGATATCTTTTACGCACTGACATATGTTGGCGTAGCATTTTAAAAGAAGATATTAATTTATATGGAGTCGTTAGGATCGGTAGCTCCAGAGATTTGCTCAAATCCCTGATAGACTTAAAATATTAATCGCTACTGATCATCCCCTCCTCCTCTCAAAATATATATTTGTTTGGTAACTTTTATTAAAAGTTTTATTAAACATTCCAAGATAGTTATAAGCAATAAAAAAAAGATTAACTGCCAATTTTTTCCAATTCCGAAATATTCAGTTGTAAACCGGGTTTAATATAAGCGCAACACCTATCTATTTTAGATGGTTGAGTATTAAGAAGTTAAAATAAAAAATTTGAAGACTAAATAATCCATTTAAAAAAAATAGATATACACAATAGAATCTCTCTATTTATGATTACGACACGATATTTTAGTAATAAGAAAATTTTAAACCAGAGATGTAGAGATAGCTTTGATCCAAACCCCAAATCGTGACTATGTTTCCAGGGTTGAATGTAGGTTAGCCAAGAGTCAATTATCTATTTTAAAAAAAAATTTTTTTTTCACGATATATAAAAGTATTCATATATTTGGTTGTAATTGTTAGGGTTTGGAGCGGAGTATTTTTTTTAACAATCGGATGTCCTTCCTGACATTTACCCACCCTTTTAAGAGACCAACCAGCCGAGGAGATGATGATGGTAATCTATACCCAGACTACAGAGAACCTTTAGAACCTCCAAAGCCGCAGCTGAGTTGAGACTGAAGGCAGGTTTTACTATGACACTTTCATAGCAAAATTCCAGATCCTTCCAAAAATATTTTAAATATGATTTTTAAAAAAATGTTATCACTACTCTCCTCAATGAGGGAATAGCGAATACTGATATGGGAGAAGTACTTGGATATGTTTTTTAAAAAATAAGTTTAATAACAGCAAATATTTATTCTTATAATTAATATAGCAAAAAAAATATATAATTATTTTTAGAAATAACAAATATGATTGACATATTTTTTTCATACCCATTTAAAGGAGGGTAGAAATGGCCATCGATTGAACAATTGTACGTAATAATCCAAAAATTGATCTCGTATCATCAAAGGGAAAATATACCTGAAAAAATTTTATGGTATAGATAAAGTATTTATATATAAAAAAAACACAAAATGGCTTTATAGTAGCAGGGGTCCAAAAAAGAACATTCTTGTGCTCAGTAACCTTTCCGAGAAAAAAATATTTCAATTCCAGTTCTGTTCCTATAAAAAATGTCTAAATTAATTTCAAATTTTTTTATTCATAAATTAGTATAGTATAGCTCAATAATTATGTCCAAGTATAAATAAAGACATTTTGCTTAAACGATATAAATGTACATTTTTGAGTGTTCAAAATAAAAAAAAAATCTTTCCCTCTACACCAATTCTTGGTGACAAAATTAATCCACCGAAATCTAAAACTTTTAAATATTAATTGTACAGTTATTTTTTGTATATTTTTAACATCACGTGATAAATAATAACCGGAAGGAAATAATTTTTTTTTAAAAAAAATACCGCTTCAGATAGTGAATGGCGTTCGCATCACAATTTTTTTCGCTTTTAGACGATAAGAGAAGTGATTTCAGGGTAGTCTCGTCGAGTTTGATAGCCGTGAGAGGCGACTTGGTATCGCAAAATTGAAGTAAATGTGATAAAACACTCCGAGACAGGCATATTTGATTGACGGAAGGGAGTTCGGATACAACGTTAATTTGCTTTATATAATGTATAATAGTTATAACTAAAACATATGTCTTCCATAGCCATCTTAAAATTACATAAAATGAATGCGTTATAGTTGGGTAATGGCTAAGAAAACGGGAAAATTTAGCTCAATCCAAAAACCGAGCGCCTAAGTAAATCTCTACCTTTTTTCAAAGTTGAGCGGCATTTAAATAAAACCCGGAAGTGGAAATGATAGTTTTTGGCCAGAAACTAGGAATAACCGTTTTTATCCAGCTAAAAAACAAAAAATTACCAAGTATAATGATCATTTCTAACAAAGGATGAAGAAATGAACTGCTGTAATTATTTGAAAACTTACTTTCTTCCATATCAATCTAGGCCCCTCCAAAGCTAATAGAGAAATCACCCCGTCCCCTTCTCGATCCACCCTTAAAACTTAATAACAAAACTGCTTCGTAATCCCTCTTCCTCACGAGTTAAAGGGTATGCCTTCCTTATGGGTTGGTACGCTATGACGAGGAGAACTGATTCCATTGGCGAAAAAATCCTGATAAGTTAAAAGACCCCGTTACTGGGAATTTTTATCATTAATTATAAAGAATAAGATGCGGCAGGAAAGAATCCATTCCAACAAATTATGCTTGGAAAAAATATTTAATTTATATAGATAATACGCCACCATCAATCATGGTATAAAAGTTGGTGATAGGAAAAAAAAACCCCAGGAAAAACTATCGGGATTTTTTTTTTTCATATTTATAGAATTTGTCACAAGAAGCATTTCTCAATTCCAAACACGTCGAACTCGATTTCCTCAAGAAACTTGGAACGTGAATCAGAACACTCTATCCGACGAAGAACGCACAAATAATCAATGCGAAGGTTGTAATCATCGTTTTTCTAATCTGGTTGTGAATAAACACCCATCAATCTGGGTATTGATTAAGGAATGCGAAATGGCTACCGCTTGAACGATGACGTGTAGATAGTTGAACACCAAAAAAAATGGCAGTTATTATGTCGAGATTCGATTAAAGAAACTTTGCTAGGAATACCGTGATGGGGTGTGAAGCCTTTCAGATTTTACAAGAACTCCTTGAATATCCGATGTCTCAATATAATTATTAATCTTAATTATTAAATTTGTATGTACATAATCATGATTTATCAATAGATAAATATATTTTATTATAAAATTTTTTAATTTAGTCTACTAATATTGTAATTAAGGTTTATTACTATAGAAAATAACATTTGCAAAAATAAGAACATGGATTATTTTACTGGTATTTCTTCCAATTAAACTTCAGCATTTTATCTTGTTAAAGCATTTTTATGGAGGGTATATGAGTAATCTTTAAATAATGAATTAGGGCCTAAATAAATTTAGCTTATTTATATATTATATTTTTATAATATTTTTTTCTAAAGTACTAATTTGTCATTATAAATATATGTATATCCATTATAATTCAAATAAAAATATACTTACATTATTAGGTCTTAAATAAATTCTATAAATATGAAAAAAAATCAGGGGTTTTTTTTCCGCAGGTTGTTTTTCCAGGATTCATAAAAGTTGTATTGTCTGTTTAAAAACCTATCAATAAGAAGCCCTCATGGTTTCAAAATGAATTGAAATATCTAGTATTTTCAAATTAATTTAAAAACTTAATTAAATTATTGGCAGATTTTGTCTTAAAAATGTTTGAAAATTATCTGATTGATTGGTTTAACTCTTTATTTGTTATATTTAAACATACTTTTAGCCCATAGATCTAACTACTTCAGCTAGATAAGTTAAAATGTGCATACAATTGGATCATATAATCCAATCAAAAATCGATACATGATAGTGGTATGCAGTGCATATAAAGTCTACATTAGAGTTGAATCTTTTATTACCAATTTTTCAAAGTTATAGTAGATAATCAATTTCAGAAAACTGCATATTTATATTAGAAGTTTAAAAATTTGAATAAAATGAAGGTTAGAGAATAGCCAGGATTAAAGGAAAATGGATTAGGCAATTCATTGTACATTAAATGGGTATTAACCTAAGAAAACAATTAACAAGTGTTCACATTTAGGTTAACCTTTTTAAATATTTTTTTGTAACATTGATTATAATAAAACTAAATGATAATAACCTGTTGACCAATCAGATGATTTGAGCATTTTGATTTGGCATTTTGGTAAATATTTGTCATGAGAAAAATCTTATTTAAAAAAATATATAACCAACTAAAATATAGATTATACCTTTAAGAAAAGAATAGAAGCATAATTTTCAGGACTAAATATTTCATTTAAAATTGTTTTATTATTATAAATAATCATCTTTATTATATCATTTTCTTCTAAACTTGTTTGAAATGAATTAGCAATGTCTTTTGATGTAATAAATGATATTGCAGAATTGCAAAGATTAAAGAGAGGTTGATGATTATATACAGATAATGTTATATTATCTTCTATATTATAAGAGTGGAAATGATTTTCTTTGTAAAATATGTTTTTGTCAACATTAAATGGGTAAAAATAAAAACAATAAGAATGCACTATCTCATCATATGCTGAATAACTAAATGTATTATCACAATCATCCTCCTAAAATAAAGTTTAGATATTTTTATTGATAATTCTTACATTTTCTTTAATTCTACCAAAATAGGAGAAAAAATTCCAAAAATAATATTCAAATGCATCTAAAAAATGATAAATATTTTTTAAATGCTAAACAAATTAAATTTACTTAAAGAAAGACTCTGATTTGAATTCAATAGTTTCTATAATATAATAAATATTGAAAATATAAATTTATATACATTGTTTTTATCCAAATATACAATTAACGTTGGGCAATTTTCATATAGTAAACGTTTAATACAATCAATTATAGGACCATTTGCATCTAAGAAAAATACTATTGATTTATATTCCCTTAAATAATTATCTTCATAAATTAAATCAATATTCCATCCCTTATCCACATGAAAAATATTATCTATTGTCTTTTGAAAGATGCTTATTAATTCCTAAAAAAATATAACTTAATTCAAGATTATTTTACTTGACATGATGAAGTTTTTAATAAAAGCAATAATTCTGTGATGCATTCTGTTAACGGGAGAGTAAATATCCATTGTATAGTTTCCTATAAAGTTATAAATATATCATATTATTTCATATTTTAAAACTTCTATATTCATATTTTCCTATCCTTGAAAAATTAAAATTCATATGTTTTATTTATTTATATCCACATGTTATGAAAAAAATAATATATTAATCTGAAATTCCAAACATCCCTAGAGCGTGGATGACTCGAAAAATATTATAATACAGCATGAATTCTCTTCAAAATTTTGTAATGAATATTTTAAAAATTTTGTGAGGTTTAAAAATTACAAAATGCCAGAGTTTTTAAAAAATCATATTGTAGTATTTACATTGTCTTTCTTCAAATAGTATTAGAGATAAATCTGACCTTTTGTTGCCCTCGTATCCCGATATGTACCTGTATATAAAACACTACATGTTTATAGTTTATATTAAATATTAATTTCACAGGATAATTTACCTGCTATTTACCCGCGATTATAAAATCAGCTCAATGGTCTCCTAAATTCCTAGATTTAAATTAACTAGATTATCTGTGTGGTACATATTAAAGATATTCCTTTATAAAAATTGTAACGGCTTTTGCAATTGAGACGAACTTGAAAGAAAAATTCGCGAAGTATAATTTAGATTGCTAGTTATTATTCAAGAAAAGGGAGAAATATCTAACATAAATTTTGTTGATTTTTATTTCTGTATTTTGGTATATCTAATAATTCTATTAAAAAATTTTAAAAAAAGTATCTTTGTATTTTGATAATTTAGTAATAATTTATAATTGTTAAATATTTGAGGTAAGAAAGTTTATGCCTGATATTAATGAGTCAGTGTGACAGGTAAGTAACCCCCCCCCCCCCCCCATTCTTAATACCAGAACTAACCAATGCAGATTATCAAAATATTTAAAAAAAACAATGATACTGAAAAGGATGAATATAAACTTAATCAAGAAGGTTCATCATAAACAGATAGGGGAAAATGTAGGTAAAGGATTAAAGACGAAGAGGACAGAACGAGGGTTTTATGATAGAATTTTATAGAAGAAAACAGACATAACTATCAAGAATGATACTACTTCTGATAAAGAATTAAAATCGTATAGGGCAGGACGAAGATTATATAGTATAATTTTATTGGAGAAATGGAATAAATTTATATTGAGATTTCAATTAAGAAATTTTTTCTAAAAACACCTTCAATTTTTTAACAATGGTTTATTCATATTCTTCGTCAGCAAATAATTAAAAATATATTCAAAAAAAAGACACGTCAATTTAATGTTAATAAAATAAAATAAAGAAATAAGTTGATTAGGCAATAAATTTGATGAAAGATTTGTATACTAAATTTAAGCAGTTAAAAAGAATAGAATCTGAAAGTCATTATAAATAATTTGAGTTAGAAATAATCTTTGGTGAAGCACCTGGACCCCGTGATATGTGCTGATGATCTTTTACCTAGGCCTTTAACAATCAAATAGCCGTAGTAATTGAACCAGAGTTGTTAAGGAGCGGCGCTATAGGAGCGGCGCTCCTGGAGTGCCACTACATTTTTCAAAAACACCTGGAGCGCCCCGCCTTTTTAAAATTGAGGAGTGGGAGCTAGAGCTAGCTCCTTTTAGGGCTGGAGTGGAGGAGGTCCGCTCCACCTCTCTTTTAAATTTAATGTATATTAAATTATTTTATAAATATTCAATAAAAATGAAATTTTATTTTATTTAAATTTATCCACTAGTAAATGTTTAGCCGAGTTTTATATTGGTTTTTCATCTAATCATTTTAATTATTATACATCAATTTTCTTTATTATATTGAAAATTTTTTGGAAAATCTTATAAATCATATTAATATTTATTTTAAGATATATAATAAAAAAATAGTTTTAGATATTATGGAGATCATAGACCAAGAAATCGAATTTCCATTTCCATCATACACAAAATATTTTTAACTTCTAAAAGATGTTGACCCAATAATCAAAAGGGCAAAATCCTTATAAAACTATTTAATTTTCAAAAGTGAGCAGCTTCAATCTAAAAAAGCATCTAAAAGTAAAAAATCTTTCTAAATAAATGATTTGGAAATTTTTTTTGGTTTCCATGTAATTATTCATCAGGAAGATAATATATTGAACATATATTTTTAAATATTGATAACAAATTACTATTTTTGATAAATTCCCTGAATTAAAAAATATCTTTATAAAATACAATACCCCGCTTCCCTCTAGTCTTCTGTGGAGCATCTATTTAGTATTACCAGTGGCCCCTACACTTTTTGAGCGAATGAAGCAGAATACCCCCATGAAAAGTACCCCCTTGAAAAGTATCCCCCCCCCCCCTCCAAAAAATGAGAATTATGACACACATAAATTTCATAAATAATTTTTATTGCATCAATTTTTAATATATAATATAAATAAAATGCAAAAAATATATACTTAATAAATATTATTTTTAAATTAATAATTTAGATAAATTAGATAGAGAGAAAGCGAAAGAAATTATAATTTCATCAGTATTTAATTTTTTAAATAAATTTTTTTCCATTGATAATATGGTTAAATTATTGAGAAAAGAATCTTTCATGGTACTGCGAAGTCTTGTTTTAATTAATTTAATTTTACTCATGACTCTTTCGGCAGTACATGAGGTTGTGGGAATGGTTTATAAATATTTGTATAAAATTCTTAAATTAGGGAAAGCAGAAAAATTTAAAAGTTAACGATAAGGTAAAATAAATGAATAGTTTTTCCAATCTGAATTATCATCATCATCAGAAGAAGCTAAATAAAGTATTGGTAAAAATATTTAAATTAAAAGAATCTGACAAATCTTTAGATTCTTGAACCTCTAGGTCATGAGTAATAATTACATTGCCCTTTTGGCCATCTTATAAATATTTCTAAACTTCAACATTTCTTAGAAAATTTGACTTGAATTTAAATTGTAAAATTCACAGATATCCTCGATATCTTCTTTAATAATTGATTTTTTTGCCATTCCCTTCAGCGTAAAAAATGATGTTTGATGTAAAAATTTCATGGAATCATCATTAAATCTTTCGTTAAACTGCATAATAATTAAATCGAGTGCAGCATAAAACATACCTATTTTAAAGCTAAAAAAAATTTCTATATTTAATGATGAAAGTATATATACCTCTTCTTTTTGGATTGTAATATTTGAAGTCTAGAACTTTCAAAATCAAAAGGTAGATTTCTCTCCTTCATAAAATCTTGCGCCTTTAAAAAAACATCCAAAAATTCAGTGTTATTATCTATTAGATTAAAAAATAATTAAGACAATAATTTATATTATACTTCTCAAATTAATCAAGCAATCTTTTGCCAATTGAATTTGATTTATTGCATACCCTATATCCTTCGAAATGGTTTGCAATTTTGTACAAGCCAAACTTGTTATCAACAATATTTTATCCAAAACACAAAGTAATAAGATAAAATCAAATTTTTCTATTCTAAAGACTATAGCACTAGCCATAGTGGAAGTTGCAGGATCTTCAGAATCCTTTAAATTTGTTAAAGCTGCCCTCAAGGCATCATAAAGTTGGAAAAAATTTACAATAGTAGCTTTATATGACGATAGCCAGCTTCTAAATAAAAAAAACATTTAAAATCTAAATAAATAAGGAACTATTACCGAGTGGTATTCTTAACGTGTAGAAATCGTTGCGATTTTTTCAGATCATTACATTGAAATTTTTTGAGTGCCTCATATCTTTTTACACCATTAAAATAGACATAAATCTCATCTAGTATCCTAGAACATTTCGAAGTTTTTTAATTGATTGGCATAATTGAACAACGATTAAATTTAATCGATGACAATAACACCAAATAAAAGCTGCCTTTGGCGCCTCTGTTCTAATCAAGGCTTGCACACCATTGATTCTTCCACTCATGTTTGAGACTCCATCATAACTTTGCTCAACTAGATATTCAAGGAATATTTATTACCAGTAAAGAGATAATAGGAATTTCTTGTTCTACTTTATCAAATCTCTGCTCTGTGTCTTCCAATAAAAAATATAGTAGATAAAAAATATGAGTAACTAAATGTCCTCAGGTTCACTAATTTCATGATCATTATCAGAATCATCAGATACTATATTTTCTTCTAACACATTTTCTTTATTATTAGGACACTTTTAAAAGATAATTATATTAATTAAAAATATTTATTATATTAACAGCTTTGAATTCCCAATTTTTACTTCTTTCTTCTTAAATTGCGATTTAATACCCATTATAATAAGATAGGTATAAACAATTAAATATTTATTAAAAAAATTAATTTGCTATTTGTCCAATTTTGAGTAACATTCTTAAAAGCTACTATTTCATTTTCTTTATATCATTAATATTAAGCCCACCATGTCTTTTTCTAATGTGATCTATCCATTTATCATCTCTTATATTATGCGATTTGCAATTTTTTATTAAGCATTTTGTATTTTTTTTGGTTAATATTTTTAGGCATATTTTAAAATTGGAAAAATTATTTATGACAAGAAATCTCGGATAACAAATTTACTAAACATCGACCAAAATCTCCGTCAATATATTAAATTAAATATTAAGTGGGGGGGGGATCTTATTATTACATTTATAAACCAGAAATCACATGATCATGATGGATGTAAAAAAAAGTACCCCCACTCAAATTTACTGAAGCAGTTGCTTCGGACCCCCCCCCCCCGTTGTAGGGGCCCCTGAGTATTACAAAAGAGGTCTTAAAGGAAAGGCGTGGATGTTTGTTAGATTCTAATTTAGAAAATTCGTTACTTTTAAAAGCTAATAAAAGGATAAATATTTTGATGGAATATAATAAAGCTTTTTTAAAAATAAATATGATTTTGTTTCGTATACCTTCTAAAAAATGAAAATAAAAGGAACTGTTATGGAGTGGCACTCCATTACTTGAAGCGGGAGCTAGCTGCTTTTAAAAATGTAGTAGCGAGAGCGGGAGCTAGCTCCTTTTGAGAATGTAGTAGCGGGAGCGTAGCTAGCTAATTTTAAAAAGGAGCCTTAACAATTCTGAATTGGACTATATTCTACGTCAGAAGAATGTTCCAAATTTATTTCAAACCTGTCAACCATAG